GTCCTGGACTTGGCTGAGAGAGTAGCTTCACTCTGCTTTCTACCATCTGTTGGGCTCAGTGTACTTCTCAGCTGACCCATGTTGGCACCTCAGTCCCTTCCATAGCCTTTCTTTTCTTCTTTTTTCCGCTTTTTTGTCATCGGGGCAACTCTAAGTCTTTGGAACGATGGGACAAGGAGCTTCTCTGGGTCCATTGTGGTGACGCACGTAATGCATTTACTCAATCCAAAGCAGGCATTAAAAAGAAAAACCCCAAATGCTCTCTTGTATCCATTTTAAGAGTAGGATTGGCACTTTCCGCTATTACCTGAGTCCTGATCTATCACCCCAGGGAGAGCTTTCCAATCCTGCACTTTTCCAGGGGGAAAGGCTGCAGTGGGGTTAAGGATAAGGCTCCTTGGGCCTACCTTCTCCCATGCCTCTACATTTACCTTTCCGGCACCTTTCCTTCCTCAGAAAAGCATGGACATACTTCTTGCATAAAACATTCCGTCTGACTGGGAGTAACCTTAACTCCTCTGCTAGCAAGCATATGTGTTAAAAGATCAATACAGAGTCTTTTTTCTTTAGACTCAGTATGGCACATCTTCTTAATCTAAAGATCAATACAGAGTCTTCTTTCTTTGGACTCAGTATGGCACATCTTTTCAATCTAAGTTCTGTACTATCCACCTTCTTACCCTACTTATCCTCTATAGGGGGGTCTGTAGCACCCTGGTGGAGTCCTATCCATCCCGAGTGTGGGGGTTCTCAATGGGGGTGGGGGCTTACCTAGGGGAATCCTGTTTCAGGGGTTCCCAAAGGTGTGGACGGAGTTGGCAAAGACTATCCACCCTCTTTCTACGGTGGAGTCCTATCCGTCCCGAGAGTGGGGCTTACCTAGGGGAATGGGGGCTTACCTAAGGGTCCCTGTTCGGGCGCCATATGCTGGGGTCCAACCCCAGCAGGTCCAGGGGTCCCCAAAGGTGTGGACGGAGTCGGCGATGAAGGAATGACATGAAGGCAGAGTTCAGTTGATCAGCATAGCCAAGCCAGGATCTCTAGCCAGGAACTCCAGCCAAGTTCTGGTCGGGATCTCCAGCCAGGTTCTGTGTCCATGTTCTCTCGCTAGGTTCTCCAGCCAGGTTCAGTCCAGGTTCTTTTGCCATGTTCTGTCTAGGTTCTCCAGTGAAGTTCTGTAGCCAGGTTCTGTCCAGGATCTTTTGCCATGTTCTCTGGCTAGGTTCTGGTTAGGATCTGATGAGGTTCTGATGAGGAGCTGATGAGGAGCTGATGAGGATCTGATGAGGATCTGATGTTTATTGTCTTGTTACATCCGTATTTATACCAGCCGATTTTAATCCTGTCAATTTCTATTACAAAGGTTAGGGCGTTTCTTATCTCCATTCCAGGGAGTAAAGATTATGTAGCTTAACTACCCGCCTGGCACTTAATTAAGGGGTTGTATCCCCTCCCTAACCTCAGGGAAAGATCCCCACCTGGAGAAACAACCTTTCTCGGAGAGGTGACCTTGGTCAAAACACATGGCACTAAGGAGTATGCCATATACGTCAGGTACCTTGAAACATATGCTGTGCAGATGTTTCTTCTCTGCAGCAAGGATGGACCGGCTCCCAGCAAATTCCCCCTTTTTTATTTTTTAAATGATAGCGTATGTAAATCAGCGGCCACCTCTCGGATTGGGTTGTTGGCAAGCAATGATAGCGAGCATAGCTATAAACATAGTGGATGGAGCGTACAAGGAGCCCCGTTCCTGTAGAAGGTTGCCGGCCTCTTCAGTCAAGGGATTTCAGCTGTCCTCAAGTTGTTGGTTTGATTGTCCTTGTTGATCTGGCTACGGGCAGCATCATTGGTGGTGGGCTTCCCGAAGTCTCAGCGAGTTGAAGGGCTGCATCAAAGGGTCCATCAGAGCAGTGCTTGATGGTGGTATCAGTGTCCGGGGAGGAATCAGCTGTGCCCTCTGGGTCCGCCGATATGGATAATACCAGGGAGGAGGAGGATGAGGCGGAGACGGAGGGTGGTGTGACATAAGGTCGGATTAGATGGTCTGGAATCCACACAGGTGAGTCTGCGTCCTGTGGAAATATACAAGCATCTCCTCTCCCCCAGGTTAAAAGTACATCAGGTCTCTTCCAGGCTCCTGTAAGTAAGTCTTTCCATTTGACGAAATAAGTGAGTTTCTGCTAAATGAAAGTTTCTTTTGCCGATTTACTCAGAGTCCTCGGACCTGGCTGAGAGAGTAGCTTCCACTTCTTGCTTTTCTACCATCTGTTGGGCCTCAGTTGTTAACTTCTTCAGCTGACCCCATGTTGGCACCTCAGTCCCTTGCATAGCCTTTCTTTTCTTCTTTTTTCCACTTTTCTGTCATCGGAGCAACTCTAAGTCTTTGGAACGATGGGACAAGGAGCTCCTCTGGGTCCATTGTGGTGACGCACGTAATGCATTTACTCAATCCAAGGCAGGCATTAAAAAGAAAAACCCCAAATGCTCTCTTGTATCCATTTTAAGAGTAGGATTGGCACTTTCCGCTATTACCTGAGTCCTGATCTATCACCCCAGGGAGAGCTTTCCAATCCTGCACTTTTCTGGGGTGGAAAGGCTGCAGTGGGGTTAAGGATAAGGCTCCTTGGGCCTACCTTCTCCCATGCATCTACATTTACCTTTCCTTCCTCAGAAAAGCATGGACATACTTCTTGTATAAAACATTCCGTCTGACTGGGAGTAACCTTAACTCCTCTGCTAGCAAGCATATGTGTTAAAAGATCAATACAGAGTCTTTTTTCTTTAGACTCAGTATGGCACATCTTCTTAATCTAAAGATCAATACAGAGTCTCCTTTCTTTGGACTCAGTATGGCACAACTTCTCAATCTAAGTTCTGTACTATCCACCTTCTTACCCTACTTATCCTCTATAGGGGGGTCTGTAGCACCCTGGTGGAGTCCTATCCGTCCCGAGTGTGGGGGTTCTCAATGGGGGTGGGGGCTTACCTAGGGGAATCCTGTTTCAGGGGTTCCCAAAGGTGTGGACGGAGTCGGCAAAGACTATCCACCCTCTTCCTAAGGTGGAGTCCTATCCGTCCCGAGTGCGGGGGGGCTTACCTAGGGGTCCCTGTTCGGGCGCCAGATGCTGGGGTCCAGCCCCAGCGGGTCCAGGGGTCCCCAAAGGTGTGGACGGAGTCGGCGAATAAGGAATGGCGAAGTTCTGGCTAGGATCTCCAGCGAAGTTCTGGTCAGGATCTCCAACCAAGTTCTGGTGCCATGTTCTCTCGCTAGGTTCTCCAGCCAGGTTCTCCAGGTTCTCCAGCCAGGTTCAGTCACCAGGTTCTTTAGCCAGGTTCTATCCAGGTTCTTTTGCCATGTTCTGTCTAGGTTCTCCAGTGAAGTTCTGTAGCCAGGTTCTGTCCAGGATCTTTTGCCATGTTCTCTGGCTAGGTTCTGGTTAGGAGCTGATGAGGATCTGATGAGGAGCTGATGAGGAGCTGATGAGGAGCTGATGTGGATCTGATGAGGAGCTGATGAAGATGTGATGAGGATCTGATGAGGTTGTGTTGTTACATCCGTATTCATACCAGCCGATTTTAATCCTGTCAATTTCTATTACAAAGGTTAGGGCGTTTCTTATCTCCATTCCAGGGAGTAAAGATTATGTAGCTTAAGCGTGATTGTTCTTAGTTAAAGTGACTAACTACCCACCTGGCACTTAGTCAAGGGGTTTTATCTCCTCCCTAACCTCAGGGAAAAATCCCCACCTGGGGAAACAACCTTTCTCAGAGAGGTGACCTTGGTTAAAACATAGCGCCAAGAAGGTGAGAAAGCATATTAAGAACAGTATGCCATATATGCCAGGTCCCTTGAAACAGCAAGGATGGACCGGCTTCTGGCAATTCCTGGGACCTGAGCTGGGCCTGGGACCTGAGGGAGAGCCGCAGATCCCTGCCATGCAGTGGCTGGGGATTGTGGTCCAGCCTGACCTGCAGCTCCTCTTCTTGGCAACACATGTGTCCAGTCAGCGAGCACGGGGGCGCTCCCTCAGGGTTGTGTGCACTTCTGCAGCTTTAAGAATGGCTCGCTCATGAGAGAGAAGATCCGCGACGAGTCGGCTTCCGGTTCCTGGAGCGAGTTCTCGAAGGCGCTGCGGTCCACGGAGATGGGGAATGGCGGAAGCTTGGGTAGGCTGTTGGGTGCTGCGCAGGCCAGGCCCGGGGAGGGGCAGCAGCTGCCTGTGGAAGGGGCAGGGCCTGGCGCCCCGTGAGTAGGGGGAGAGGAGGGCCAGGGAGAGGCCCAGGAGAGTCCTGTGTGTCTACATTTGTGCTCCATGGGCCTGACAGCTGGTCTGAGACCCTGTGTTCTGAGTGGAAGATGGGGCCATCGCTGCATCTCCTGCCCCCTCAGAGCGCCTGGTGGCAGCCTCAGAGGTGGCAGCCACAGTGCCTGCTCCCTTCTGGTGCATCCTGTGCACAGCTTTCTGCTGCAGGCACCAGGTCCTGTTAGGAAAAGTGCCCAGCGTCTGGAACAGGCCTCTCAGCAGGGAGGGGGCGTGGGCAGGTATTTCAGGGCTAGTGGGCAGCTGCCCGTGGCCCGGCTGCCAGGTGAGCGTAGGGAGAGCTGTCTAAGGAAACGTGTTGAGGCCTTTCCGGATGCCCTCTGTCCTGCCGGAGGGCCAGGGACTGAGAGTATTCGTGGATGTCCTCCCGTGGGTGAGTGGGGCCCAGCGACAGAGATGTGGGGTCGCTGCACCCGCCCTTTTTCTAAGTCTTGAGACGCCCACCTTTTGTTTTTGATCGCTGACAGCAAATCTCTTCCTGGTCTGTTTCAGGTTTTTATTTTGACGTCAAGGAGATCACCCCTGAAATGATCGGGCGGCATAGGTTTAGCCCAGAAAACCGTGAGGTATGTGCTACGTGTATTGGAGCTGCATCGGCTCCATTTCTGAGTATTACATTTAACAGTTACCTATGAAATGATGCTACTTTTAGGGGCTCCATTCATTCACTCATCCATCGATAAAACAAACGTTTTTGAGCCTCTGGCCGGGTAGCTCAGTTGGTTAGAGAGTCGTCCCGATACGCCAAGGTTTCGGGTTTGATCCCTGGTCAGGGCACATACAAGAATCAACCAATGAATGCATGGATAACTGAAACAACAAATCGAGGTCTCTCTCTCTCTCTCTCTCTTTCTCTCTCTCTCCTCTCCCCCCCCCCCTTGCTCTTTCCCCCTCTCCCTCCCTTACTCTCTCTCTCAAATCAATTAAAATAATTTATTTTGATGTGCCAGGGTACATGCTTGATGTGGGGAGTCAGCAGCTATGCCTGAGCTCCTTTGGAGGCCTGAGTCCTGCGTTCCGAGTCTGGGTCATTGGTTAACATGCTAACACACACATGAGTGGACAGTGAGAGCTCCTCACTCCCTGCTCGCTGTCTCCTGGACACAGGTCCCAGCGTTCCCCGCGGATGTGGAGATCCGAGCACTGATTGAAGGACAGTTCATGGCCAAGAGGATTCATGCCGAGGGCCTGGGCTATCGAGTCCGTAAGTGAGCGGTGGCGGGCTGTGTTCTGGGGCGGGAGCCGGGGTCTCGCTCGCACCGCGGGGCTGGAGGTCCTGTTCAGCCATCAGACATGGCCTGGCGGGGTCTGTCTGTTAAGGCTCCATCGCAGGGGCCTCAGGCAGGAGAGAAGAGGAGCCTGACCCTGGTGGGGCCTGAAAATGAGGTGACTAGCTCTTGTGGGCAGCCTACACGAGGGGACAGGCGTTCCTGTTTGTCCGCTCTGTCCCCTGTAGCCTCATCTCCAGGCCAGGAGCTATAGGACTTGACGATCTTTCTTTCTTTTTTAAGTATATTTTTATTGATTTCAGAGAGGAAGGGAGGGGAAGAGAGAGAGAGAAACAGTAATGATGAGAGAGAATCATTGATTGGCTGCCTCCTGCACGACGCCCACTGGCGATTGGGCCCGCAACCAGGGTAGTGACCTGACCGGGGAATCGAACCGTGACTTCCTGGTTCATAGATAGATGCTCAATCACTGAGCCACACCGGCCGGGCTCGGCAATCTTTCTGTAACCCTAAACTCCAACCTGCAAACTGAATGTCTCAAGACCTGGGCCCTGAGGACATGGGCACGCAGGTGGGATAGGTCTGGGTTGAGGCCATGGCTGGACCTTGACCTCCATCTCGCCTGCCAGCTCCCACCTCCCTGGAGGCACAGTTCTGGGCATTTCAGTTCGGATAGGGAGGAGCGGGGTGTGGAGCCACTGTCCACACTGAGAGGTCTGGAACGGAGCGGCAGAACCAGGGCTCGGGGAGCCCATGGGGGAGAAGGGGGTTTCTAAGAACTCGAGCTATGGAATGGGCAGCTTTAGGAGGTGAGTGAGTCCCCCGGACTGATGGCGTTGGTATGGTCTGGGGGTTTTGCAAGGAAACCAGGATCCTAACATGTATTTGTCCCTCTGGGCAGCAGTTGTTGTCACTAGAGAAGGTAGAAAACTGAAGCCCCTTCGCTTGATGGCCTTCTCCGGGTACTTTCATGGGCAGTCTAAGTTCTAGGCAGCACGTGTTATGCTTTTGAACCCACCAAGTAAGCGGATATTAAAAAATAAGCTTCAGGGAGACCTTTTGAAGACCTGTTAGGCAGCACCTACTAAGCTACAGGCACAGCCCTCGGCGGACGTGTGTCAGAAGTATGTACGCGTGTTCTCCAAAGACGTGCCAGAGACCACGCATCAGGGCTCTGTGCTTGACGCCCCACATGGGAAACAACCCAATACCCGTTGATGACAGCCAGGATCCGTGCCTTGTGGGTGTTCCCACAACGTGATAGTACACACAGAAATGAAAAGGGCCTGGCCTCAACCGCATGGGACAGAATCGATCTCACCAATGGAAGTCTGAGCAAAAGAAGCCAAACCCAAATACATGTGGCAGGATTCCGTGTACACCAAATTCGAGAGCAGACACAGCTGTTTGCTATGGTTGGAAGGGTTCTCTAGCTGTCAGGAGGGGCAGCTGGGTGTGCAGGGAGAGGCAGCGAGCGCAGGGAGGTCCTCCTGGGCTCAGGAAGGTAATGTGATCAAGCCATCATTCCCAGCCTTTAAAGCATTTCCTGTGCAAAACAGCATAAAGTTACTTATCCTCTTAGCAAGCCTAAAAGCACAATCAAACCTGTTCGCCAGCTCTGCTGGGTTCCTCTCCAACAGGATCATGTAAATGAATGAGCTTGCTCCCCCTACACACACACCTACACCCCCCCCCACACCCTCCCAACTCCCCCCACAGCACTAAGAGGCGTCATCTTCCAGCTGCTGTGTGGATGGACCCGCTTGGGTTCCTTCTTGATCAGCCCTAATCTTGTTAAATAGTGTTTAAGGAGAATAAAGAGGCACTTGATGTAGGGCTGGTGGTCATGATGATAATAGCTCCTAACATTTATTAAGCACCTACTGTGTGCCCAGCCTGGTTCTAAGCACTCATTCCTTATTAACAGCAGCGCTCCGAGGTAGGTGCTGGTAGTACTCCCACTCCCCAAAGTAGGAAACGTGTTAAGTCGCTTGCTTAACACGTTGAGGCTGGCAGAGCTTCTGAACCAAGCTTCTGGCTCTAGACTCTTGGTTCTTTTTTAAAAATTTTTATTGATTTCAGAGAGGAAGGGAGAGGGAGAGAGAGAGAGAAAAACATCAATGATGAGAGAGAATCATTGATCGCTGCCTCCTGCATGCCCCCTACTGGGGATTGAGCCCACAACCTGGTCATGTGCCCTTGACTGGAATCGAACCTGGGACCCTTCAGTTCGTAGGCCGATGCTCTATCCACTGAGCCAAACCAGCTAGGGCCAGACTCTGAGTTCTTAACTACTGGCTACAGATGCTTTATTTAAAGAACCATTGCTCTCTTGATGTTTAGACACTGACAGACATGCACCCATCTGCACTGGGCTAACACCATGGTCCCTTTCAGCTTATGTTTCTGTGTATATATTCATTTTGTTGAGGTTGGTTTGTAAAAGCAATCAAACCTTATCTTAGCAAGTTTGGAAAGTAAAGAAAACTACTTAGAATCCCCTCTTCCAGCCCCTTGTACCACCTGGAAGTTCTTCCAGTCTTCTTGACGGGCTTATTTCTATCTTGCTATAGTCCTATTAGTATTTCCTTTGTGCATGCAATCCCTGAAGTTTATCAAAAGCCTTCTTCATGGTGCTTTCCCTGCAGTCAGGCAGAGAGGCTATTTTTGTTTCGTTTTTAATATATTTCTGTTGATTTCAGAGAGGGAGAGAGAGAGAGAGAGAGAAACACCAATGATGAGAGAGAATCCATCAGTCAGCATGAGCCCTGACCAGGAATCAAACCGTTCATGGTTCATGGGTCGATGCTCAATCACTGAGCCATACCGGCCGGGCAGCACACAAGTCTTAAAGAGAATGCTTCTAGATGTTTCTGTTAAGAATGATGTCTGTTGTACATTTTGGACATATGGCCTTCATCCATTTAATTAAGGTCCCTTCTTTCTTGTTTTGTTGAGAGATTGTTAATAATTAAAAGAAAAAGAAGATATTAAGAGGTGGGTGGGGCAGCAGCCGCACAAGCCGATTATAGGGGACAGAACTAGCTTCGAGTCTCTCCCCCCATCCTCTGTGATAAGCAAGAAGCAATGGCTGACACAAGCCCTTTGTGGCTGAAGAACTCTGGGAAACCGCCAGTCATTTTTTTTCTTTCTCCTTGCAGTGCCCAAGACAAAGATTTTGGCCACTGGAGGGGCATCTCACAACAGAGATATACTACAAGTAAGTGTTGAAAGGATCTCTCCCATATCTATTCATTCTTTTTAAAAAATTGTTGTTGTTTTTAAAAATTGATTTCAGAGAAGAAGGGAGAGAGAGAGAAACATCAATGATGAGAGAGAATCATGGATTGGCTGCCTCTTGCATGCCCCCTTACTGGGGCCCGCAACCCAGATATGTGCCCTGACTGGGAATCGAACCGTGACCTCCTGGTTCAATAGGTTGACGCTCAACCATCCAGCCACACCGGCCGGGTCCATGTCTGTTACTTCTAAGAGCCAGACATTCAGCAGGAGGAATGCCTGTTCCCACTCCTTCCCTCCCAGGAAGCCAGATCTGCTACCTTGCAGCTTACACTGTGAGCAGGTTGTCTTAGACTCGGGAAATCCGCTGCCCTGTGTAACTCCACTCTCTGATCCCAGCACCGGCCTCTGTACCACACGTCAAACCTGACATCAGATGCCAGTGTTCTTGCCTTCCCAAAAGCTCTGCCTTCCAGTGTAAAGATCTCTGATTTCTCAACCATTCCTCTTATAATACAGTTGCCGGACTTGGTCACGGTCTTTCTGATCCTCCACTATGCTAAAAATATGTGACCAAAATTGGAATCAACCTGCAGATGTCTGATAATCAGGCTGTTATACCTTGGGGCTGAGTATTTTGGGATGTAGCCTGAGGCTGCCTTAGCTGTTTGAATAACTGCATTGACTCTTGACTTGTAATATACCTGCCTTAGGTAAGATTCTCTAGAAGCAGAGTCTGAAATGGGCATTTCCTATAAAGTGATGTGTTGAGAGAGTTCTCCTGGGAGAGGGGGTGGGAGATGCACGCAGGACAGAAGGGCAAGCAAGGATGTGCTTTTGGCTGGCGTCGGCTTCAGCTCCATCCCGTGGGGAGATCTGGAACAGGAACTCTACCGCAGACTTGTTTTCATCTTGGGGTAAGGGGGCCACCTGGCCATCCTGGGAAGGTAGAAATAACTCCTGTGAGAGGCAGCCTGTGTTCAGCAGGGAGTAGTTCTTCTTTTGCTTTTAAATATATTTTATTGATTTTTTACAGAGAGGAAGGGAGAGGAATAGAGAGTTAGAAACATCGATGAGTGCCGAAACCGGTTTGGCTCAGTGGATAGAGCGTCTGCCTGCGGACTGAGGGGTCCCAGGTTCGATTCTGGTCAAGGGCATGTACCTGGGTTGCGGGCACATCCCCAGTGGGAGATGTGCAGGAGGCAGCTGATCGATGTTTCTCTCTCATCGATGTTTCTAACTCTCTGTCTCTCTCCCTTCCTCTCTGTAAAAAATCAATAAAATATATTTTAAAAAAAAGAAACATCGATGAGAGAGAAACATCGATCAGCT